AAAAAAACATAACTAATATAGAAGTTGGTACCAGAAACTGAGATATTGCTATGATAGGGTGGACCATCCTGAGTTATAGAGAAAGACAGTTGTTGGGATGTTAAACTGGGGAGTGGAATGAAGTTGAACACTGTAGTTGGGGCTTATGAGCCATCCTGGGGGGAACCTGGAAACAGTAGTGTTGAGCAAAGTGGACAGTGGAGGTACAGATGAAGATCAAGAGGCTTCCAATGGAAACAAATCTGCAACTGGATTAGAGATTATCTTTTAGCATTTTGCAAAAGAATGTACCTGTTTTGACAATGATCATTAGAACTAACCTGAGGCTAAATTGATGAGTTTATGACTGCTTTTATTACCCTTGGGTATTCTAAGACAAATTAATTTGGCTTTATTGTCTGATTATTAGTGACTACTGTTACAATGGGCTACAGTGAGTGAAAAAGAGCAAACAGAAAAATAAATACAAAATGTAGTTAGTGAAGTAAAACATTACTAGAAAAATCTTTCTCAGTCCAGCTTTACACAGTCCTGGGCACATCAGTGTGTGGGAAAGCTTAGAGTCAAAGAGAGAGACAGAGACATAGGCAGAGAAAAAGAAAGAGAGACAGAGTCAGAGAGACTGACTGATAAATAGATGATAGATAGTTGATGATGATAGATGACAGATAGATAGATAGATGGATAGATAGATACATAGATACATAGATACATAGACAGAAGGTAAGTTGTATTTTAGAAAATAAATGGGAGTATTGAAGACAACTTTTCAAAGCAAGACAAAATGGCTAGATTTTTTGACATTGAAGGTGGTGATGCTCTATAGAGTTTTTGTCTCAGTTCCCCTTAAGTCTGGTTCTCTGTGTGAAATAGCTGTCATAACCAGACAGACAATAGTAGTCACCTTCATCCTCAGGCTGCAACCTGGAAATAGTTAAAATGCCAGAGTTGGCGGAGGTGTCCTTGGAGCCAGAGAACCGGTCTGGAATTCCAGAGGGTCTTTGATCATATTTGTAGATGAGCAGACGGGGTTTGTTCGACGAATGCTGCTGATACCAGTATACATAATTACTTGCAATGTTTCCACTGCTGCGGGTGCAGGATATGCTGATCTCCTGGCCCAAAGATCCAGACACAGATTGGGGCTGGGTGAACACAACCTCAGCACAAGACCCTGGGAGGATGGAAAGAAACAGTATTAATGAGGACCAGACAGGGCCAATTTCTAGGAATCTGGGAAGAGACTATCATTTCTCCTGTTCACACTCTCAGAATCCAATGGAAACAGCCACCTGTGCTATAAGAGAGGAAAGTGAGGAGAACTGGAGCCCAGATCATGATGGAGACACCGACACCTAAAAGTTCTCCTGGAGCCATACAGCATACTGAGACACACTCCCTTCTTATCTGTCACTGTCCTCAGAGAAGATCATTGCTATGCAAATGTCCCCTGTCCAGAAGGCTGTGAAAGTCCTCCTTCAGTAACCTAGGCCCCATCTGAGAAAAAAAAAAGCCAGAGAGAAATTACTGTTTCATTTAATGCACAGGAAATGCTGCTGGGCAAGGAAAAATCAGCTGAGAGCCTGGCAACACTAAGCAAGTATGTGGCTGGCAGTGCCCTCTAGTGGCTGGAGGAGATATCTATCCTGGGCAGGTGCCAGCTCTCCAGGTTTCTGCCATCCCTAAAATATCTTTGACTCTTACAATCACTAGCCCTGAGGGCTCTAAACAAAATCAGTGCTTTCTGAACAACTAGACCTCCATTTCTATCCAGATACACCAAGAGTTACTACCGTTTCTGATGTATTGGTTCCTTTTGTTGTTGTTGTGTTGTTATTGAGGGTGGCAATTATCAGAAAGAATGTGAACTCCACTCTCACCAGTTGCAGTAGAGAATAGGATATCTGAAGGTGGTGAAGTTGATGGAGACTGCCTCCTCCAATACAGGAACCAAACCCTTCTAGATCACAGGATAAAGGGATGATTTGAGACTATGTTAAAGCACATTCCATACTTACATTCCACATAACTCGTACAGAAGAGATATTAAATTTTACATTTCCCAAGTAGAGAAATTTGCTAGGACACTCCTAGTTGTGAATCTGCATATACCAGCCTGAGAATTAGGATTCAAAGTAGGCCGCATAGAAGAAAGAACAGCCTAATTTATATAATGGGAATTTAGCAGGGTGCGCATATCTTTTCCATTGCCTCCTACCAGGAACAAATCCAAGTCTTCAGGATTTCTTTATATGTTTGGGAAGAAACTAAGCCCCCAATTTAGATTCTTAATTACTTAGAAATGGAAGTTTGTGGGACTCTGAGAACAATCATCTTGAGTGAAGTAACAGAGAGCCTGATAGATAAATGAGGCATGCTAAGATAGCTTCAATGTAATAGGCCCCCATAAAGTGTGACAGTATTAGCAGGTGTAGCCTTGTTATAGAAATTGTTTCACTCTGAGGGTAGGCTCTTGAAGTCTCCTATATGCAAGCAACGCTAGTGTCTCAGTTCACTTCCTATTGTCAGCAGATCAAGAAACAAACTCTCACCTCCTTCTACAGAAAATTGTCTGTCTGAATATGGCCATGTCCTGCAATGAAAATGGACTGAACCTCTGAAACTGAAGGCCACTCCTATTAAGTGGTTTTTTTTTTCCTTTGTGAGTTTTTCTGTAGTCAGAGTGTCTATTAACAGCAATACAAACACCAACTAAGACCCATGTTTCATCTGTAAATGTTAGCTTACAAACAGATATACATGTTTATGTGGAAAATCCATATAGGTCTGGAAAATAATGAAGAGCTATAAAAGAGAATTTCAAAGGAAACATGATAAAACTCCAGTTATATAAAACATTAAAGGCCTAGGTCCTGGGGTGAAATAGTATCACTCCATAGGGAATGGGCTTCCAAAGTCCATTTGTGTAATAGGGATAAATACTGGTTCCACTGTTAGAGCACCAATAGACTGCCCAGGCCTCCTAACTGGCTCCTAACATTCAGAGGGTTTAGTCCAATGCTGGTTCCCCAGCTTTACAACTGGGATCTCTGTGCTCCCACTAGGTTGGGTCAAATGATTCTATAGTTTTTGCCAGCATGGTTTTGACTCCATTGCTCATCAGACTTTTCTGATCCCCATGAAAGGCCTCACCATCTATGCACAGTGGTGGGGTGGGTTGGGGAGGAAGGTAGGGGGTATGGGAGGATTTGAGGAAGAGGAAAAATGGGGGATTGATATGTAAAATGATTGTAAGACCAATGCTGGTTCCCCAGCTTTACAACTGGGATCTCTGTGCTCCCACTAGGTTGGGTCAAATGATTCTATAGTTTTTGCCAGCATGGTTTTGACTCCATTGCTCATCAGACTTTTCTGATCCCCATGAAAGCCCTGGCCATCTATGCACAGTGGTGGGGTGGGTTGGGGAGGAAGGTAGGGGGTATGGGGTGATTTGAGGAAGAGGAAAAATGGGGGATTGATATGTAAAATGATTGTAAGACATTAAATAAAAAGTAGAAAAAAAGATTAAAGTGGAATAATAGAGCAGGGAAGGCTAAATTAGGTTTGAGCATAGGTTTCCATAGAGGATGGAAAACAGAGAGGGATACAATAAAGGCATTTTGAAAAAGGCATATGGAAACCTACTACTAAAGAAGCTTATGCATACAGATTAAAAATGGTTTGTCCTTTAACAGGGTGATAATGCTTCTATGAGACTTTAGAGACTAGCAAATAAGCATGCAAGTTCCAATGAACAGGATATATGCTCGGAGACTCCCAAGCATTACAGGCTATTGCAATTGATTTGTTTCTTTTCTATAACATAACAGTAAGGTAATTATTCCCTCCTGTGGAAGACACAACATAATTGAGGAATGAAATATGGAGAGATCCAGCTGGTACTCACCTGGAATGTTTATTTCTACTGTAGCACACATGGTGCTTGGAGGTGTTATGCATGATACCAGAAAAGAGATAAAAGGCTGTGTTTTACCCATCTGGGAACTCTGAGTGCTACATACAGACTGGCCTAACTTGACGTCTCCACTAATCCAATGTGGCATGAAATCATGATAGTAAATAACTAATAAGGGAGATTCATAATCTGTGAGTTTAAGATATCTTTTATTAGATAAACACCAGCCAAACACAAGCCAGAGCATGCCATGAGATCAGGGAAGGAGGCCAGAGAGAAGGGGCTTGCCGTGTGCTTTGTGTAGCCAGCTTCTAGCAGGCATGACTTACATGGTCCCCTACAAATAACCCCTTTGTGATTGATCCTTTTCACAAATGAAACACAGACCTAGGGTCAGTATTAGGCCATGAACCTGTGACTAGACAGCTCATGTGCTCAAAGAGAGTTCCTACTACGATTATTCTATTAAATTGTGCTCTGCTTCAAATTATCCCATAGCCATACATGAGGGAGCTTGTTTTATTTAATTAGTATATAATTACCTAATTATCCCTCCCTCTTAACTCAATGTCTTCTACCTCCAAACTCACAACTTCCTGTGCTAAACATTGTCATTACAAATACATGTAATGATAAACACATAAATACAACCTGCTTAGTCTGTTCAGTGTTGCTTGCACATGTGTTGCTGGGGATGATCACCTGGTATGGGTTAACCAGTCAGGACACTCATCCCTGGGGAATGATCCCTCTCTCTCTCTCTCTCTCTCTCTCTCTCTCTCTCTCTCTCT